GTATCCCTCTATCTCTTTTAGACTGAGTCTGGATCCTCGTTGCTTATCTTAGTTCTTCTCTTTTCAATGAAGTTAAAGTTTCAACAATCAGACACTGAAGACATCATAGTATGTCAATTAATTTTAATTTTTAATTGATTAATTAAAATAATTTCTCAGGATACTCTCAATGAGTCAGGATATCCCTCAGATAAATCTGAAGAGTTGGTCGGTCGATTGATGTCAGTGGTTGATTCCACTGATCACTTTATAACACTAGCAACCAGTGTACTGGACAAGGTCAGTAATTTTTTAGTAAACTTTAGTATACTCCAGTATATTTTTGTATACTATAATGAATGCATGTTTTACTGGTATAATTGTATTTAATTATATCTCTTTTTTCTCATTGTAGTTGTGTGAAGGTGATTTCTCTGGTACTTCTCTTCCTCTGATATCCATAATGTCACTCAATCTGTTGCTCTGCTTGCTACAAAGGACAATAAAGGAGAGAACTACACTACCAGAACAAGAAGAAGAAGAAGAAGATATAGAGATTGAAGTTGAGGAGGAAGAGGAGGAGGAGGAAGAGAAAGAGTGAGGAGAAGGAGAAGGAGAGGGAGGAGAAGGAGAAGGAGAAGACAAAAAGGAAGACACTACTCCTAGTCCTGAGGAAACACTCAAAAAATCATTTTACGATTCTCACGCTGAAACTCTCATTCCTGTGCTACTCAAAGTTTCAAAGCTAATCCTCTCTGTCTCTCATCATGGCATATGTATTGATATATTTAATCCTGATCAGAATCACGCTAAAGACATGATTGATGTTATAAAGAGCATACTCGGTCTCTCAGGAACCAAGCTATTGGTGTTTGGATCAAACGGAAAGCTCCCTCATACCAAGGACCTGTTTGTGAGACACATTCCGGTACCAATGTCTGAGCGTTTGAAAACATGGAACTCGGCGATGATAATGGAGCGATCCTTATGTAACAGAGTAGGAGACAAAGTTGATATTATTGAGGAGATGTTCGGGTTCTTACACTCGTCCCTGAGAGCTATAAGTGGTCGTAGTACCTTCTCACCTAACAATTCTTTAAAATCTAATTTGTTCATCGTATCTGGACTCCTACATAATTTGTTCTCTCTCTCGCCTGCCGATAGTTCTTCAAAGTTTTCCGAGAGTATCGTTCCTCTTGCTATGGATCTGTTGCTGGAGTTTGCTGTTGAAGGGGATAAGGGCGTGTCTGGGGGCGGAGTCTCTGAGGCTCCTCTGAGAGAAATGGCAAAACTTTTTGATGAGAAATCTTTTGCCTTGAAATGCATGAAGCAAAAAGTAATTTTTATATGTACATGCATGTGCATGTATGTCACATGTACATGTATGCATGCTGTAATATATTCCACTATATCAGTTTATTTTTGTGAGAATTAAAAAGTACATGTTTTAATCACAATTTTTGCTGTGCTGCCTAAATTAAAATTGCAAATTTTGCATATTCATTTTTATGTGGTATAGTTTGTAAGTTACATGTACACGTATTCAGCAAAAATATTTCACTTCAAAAATCAACCAGTATTATATGATATGCATGTACATGTTTGCTTGAATTCATTTCTTCTCTTTCCCTCATTAGGTAATTAATTGTTTCCAGTTGGTTCAGTGTCCTCCATTGGGTGGTCATACATTCCAAGGGTCTCTGCTTGAGGATTTATTTATTTTATTGAACAATTTACTCGACTCCTCCCCCTACTGGCCTATACTGGCAGAACTGGACACCATCTCTCCACCAACAAGTAACTATATACAGATATTAATACCAGTTTTAATAACCAGTTTTAATGGCACCTTTAGTAACTAGTAATTATGAATCAATAATGCATGTAGCAAAATTAATGAACTTTTTTTATAAGAGAGCTTACTGTGTATCCTTTAAAAAGTGTATCAGTCACATGTACATGTAATAGCCTGGACTACAATCATCACTACATACATGTACATTAAGCCTGTATAAAGTATCTTATAGCAGGCAATTTTGGAGGGGTAAAATTGGGTAATTTCTGGTGACTGGCAGGTTTTAAAGTACATGCTTAAAAAAATCTCATAGAAGCATCAAGCTATAGTATTTTAATGTATTTAATATTTTACCTTCTTTTTTTCCCCTAATTCATTTATTTCTCTCTCTTTCTTTCTTCAGTAGACTTTACTGATCTTCTCTCCTTATGCTCCTTGAGCTCACTGTGTACCTCTTCACTGACTGAAGGCTTGAAATTATTTTTAAAAATATTGGAACTGACTAACAAGGAGCCCCATGATCATCTCAGTGTCCTCTGTGGACAAGTAAGGCATAGGGAGATGTACTTATGCTATGTTTGGAAGTATTAGCATTTTTAAAACTACATGTACATGTATATGTAGCAAATTTTAGAAAGAAGCAAAGACTATATATAGCCCATGGTTTTTTCCAAAAAATGGCTTTAAAATCACCCTTAATTTTTATTACATTTTCTGATACATATTGATGTACTTATGCTGTGTTAAAATTTTGAGCTGTTTCCAACTTCAATTTTTAAAGTTACAGTCGTTTTAAGAAAATGCCAAATTTCTGAAAATTACCCAAGGCTATAGCCCATGGTTTTTTCTGAAAATTGGCTCCAAAATCACCCTCAATTTTTATTACATTTTCTGATACATATTGATGTCCTTATGCTACGTAGAAAGTTTGAGCTGATTCCGACTTCAATTTTTTGAGTTACGGCCATTTTAAAAAATGAGCCAAAATTCTGAACATTACCCAAGGCTATAGCCCATGGTTTTTTTTCAAAAATTGACTTCGAAATCACCCTCAATTTTTATTACATTTTCTGATACGTTTTGATTTCCTTATTTTCTGATACATATGTTCATCTACGCATGTAGTTATTATTGTTATTATTTATTTATTTATTTATTTATTTTCCCGTTAGATTGCTAGACTGTCCATGGTACCACAGGACCAGTTGGTGTCCCTCCTACAGCGTATTGTTCTTGGTTGTGTTAGTGACAGTGTCACTGACTCACTGGCCCACACTAACCTACTCTATCGTATCATCGAACTACTCACTAAAGAGGACTGGTAGGGATTCAATGTACATGTACATGTACTGTAATGTATTGTATAGCAAGATATACCTTAGAGTGACTTTTAATTGCGGGTACTAAATTTTGCAATTTTAGCACAAGGTAGATTTTGCTGGTATTAAAAATTGTGATTAAGTAATTATTACTAATACATGGCATCATGATGTCATTATTAATAATTGCGTGTATTAATAATTGCGATTTTTAACCCAAACGCAAAATTCGCAATTAATAGTACCTGTATTTAAAAGTAACCTTAAGGTACATGTACTGTAATGTATTGTATAGCAAGATGTAATACATGTATACATGTGCAAGATACAGTGTATACAATATTTAAGATACATATACGTGTACATGTATGTACACATCTACATGTACATTTGTATTTTGTGGCACTATTTTTTGATTATTTGAAGTTTACAATTTGCTACTTTTTTGTCATTTTTTGTATCGCCATACATGTACATATAGCTGGAAATTTTGAGTGATTTGTACATGTGCATGTAGGCTTAAATTTTTTTGGCCATGTTTTATTATGCATGGTTGGTTTTACACATGTTCATACATGCATGTGTACATGTATTTTTATTAATCTCTTATCTCTTCCCCTAGCTGTATTTCCTCTCATCTCTCTCAAGTCCTCTTAATCAATTTGATTCCAATTGGTAAGGACCTCATCAAGACACTCCATCACTTGGAAGGAAAGCAGTACACGATATTCAAGGATTACTTTCAATCCTGTGTCCTCCTGGCTGGAAACAGATCACAGAAAGGACATCTTGAACTAGTTAGAGCTGCCTCTGACTGGCTGCCATTATGGTAACTGTATCTTATTAATAGTGTTTGTATTTTATGTCTCTCTCTCTCCCTCTCTTTTTAGTTTTGATTTGGTTAAGAACAACAGTACTGAATGGAAGAATAATAATGAAGTAAAAGCAGCAACACATGCAAATTGTACACTTGTTTTAGGAATTATCGCAAATTTGGATTTTTGCTCATTCACAAAAATTAAAATATCTAATTTAATTTCTTTGTGAAATTCTTGAAGTACAAACTCCAAAAAAATCATAGTCTAAAAATGCATGTATAATGTACGTTATACATGTACATGTACATGTATATTTGTGAATGGACGTGTACATGTCCTATTATTTGATTTATTTCATTTCCTTGCTAGATATTGTTACCATTATACACAGTACTCAACTATGTGTCCAGCCTGTCCTCAGCAGCACAGCTACTCACTAACAAGTAATTAACCCTGACCACACCCACTATGAATAATTAATTAATAGGGAGGCATGTACCGAGAGAAGAGCTCTAGCTGCCGAGGATGATTACGCAATACTGGTAAGTCACATGATCCTCACATGACTGTTACCATGACAACTATAGATGAAGAGGAAGAGGA